CCCCCCCTCTCCGTGCCTTCCCCCCGCCCTCTCCCCCCCATACACACACACGTATGCACGCACGAACTGCCGGACGCAGTCATGCTTCTCCTACGCTGTCCCGTTTAGAGAAGATGACAAGACACAAACAGTGGGGGGGAAGGCAAGGGGAGTGCAACCGAGTCAGCAACTGAGTCAGACGATGAGAGCTTAAGCCGCCAGACTTTAAAAAAAAAGGACAAAGAGAACACGAGATCCGGTCGGACGGTGTCAGAGTGCGATTCTTTCCGAGCGCATCTTCGCACTGAAAATGCAAAAAAAAAAAAAAAAAAAGAACTGAAAATGCGCGCGCGCGCGCGAGAGAGAGAGAGAGAGAGCAGACAAAGTGGGTCGTACTCTGTTGATCTGGTCGGCCGCTGTCAGGGCGCGATTCTTTATGAGCGACATCGAGTGTATCCTCGAGCTGAAGTGCGAGTGTTTTTTTTTTTTTTTTTTTTTTTGAACGGAAAAACGAAAGTAACGACACTCGGGGAGAGAGATGGGCAAGAAGAAGAAGATAAGAAATGGCCAAATTGCTTTTCACACGCGATAGAATAATTACATTTACAGTAATTACAAGTGAGTAAAAAAATAATAATAATAAATTACAAGTGAATACCCTGCTCAAAACTGCGCGCTCGTTCCTCTACATGTTTCAATCAGGTGCGCTACGGTCTCATCAGGAGGCTCACCACATATCCAGTCTATTCGTGGGGAGCAGGGCCCACAGCACCTTACAACCCATGAGCTAGTCTTTCTGTGTGTCTGGATATTGCATCTGTGTGTGAGTTTGTCGTCTTTCTCGAAACAGGAAAACGACATAGCGACCGTCTTTCCCGAAACAGGAAAACGACAAAGCGACCGTCTTTCCCAAAACAGGAAAACGACAAAGCGAACTCACCTGATATCGTCCTATCATCAGTTTCATATCCTAGCACAAGACTCCCCAGCCGTGCGGGGCAATTTAAAAAAAAAAAAGAAAAAAAAAGTGCGTAATTCGCAAAGTAGCTGCAAAAAAAAAAAAAAAACGATAGAGTGAGGACCCTTGGGACCTGCAAGCGCCCTCCAAAGAATCGTTCATTCTTTTCTTACGTCTTTCGCTCTGTCGCGCACGACCTGTCACAATGGTCACACCCCATTCGTACGACCGGTAGCCATGGCCAGTCTACGTCCATCAGGCCGCCGTTGATTGCTCAAGCCACCGATTGAGCCAAACCAATCAACCATTTAGCTGATTGATTGACCTCAGCTTGATGCACCTTATCCATAGAGGAGAAAAGTAATCAGCCAATCAATCAGACAACTAATAATCGACCCATTGTAAGCAACCGATCTATAAATCCGTCAATCACACGAGCGGCCAGTCAGTCTACCTATCAGCCTGTCAAGGTCACCACCTTCCTGGATATTACCGAACTGATTAGCAATCAGCCAAGCAATCAAGAAAACAATCAAGCAAACAATCAAGCAATCAAGCAATCAAGCAAGCAATCAAGCAATCGAGCGATCAAGCAATCAAACAAGCAATCAAGCAATCAAGCAATCAAGTACTCAAGCAATCAAGCAAGCAATCCAGCGATCAAGCAATCAGGCAAGCAATCAAGATCGATCACAATTCATCAATCAATCAATCAATCAATCAATCAATTAAAGCACGTCAGCCAATGCATCAGATTGATTGTCCGATGATTAGTAGAAGGTCAAAGGAGACTTACATAATAGGCCTTGCTTTACCGAAGCTCCAAAAAGCAGCCAGCACTCTCTCTCTCTCTCTCTCTCTCTCTCTCTCTCTCTCTCTCTCTCTCTCTCTCTCTCTCTCTCTCTCTCTCTCTTGTGTGCGTGTGCGTGTGCGTGTGTGTATGTGTAAGATAAGTAATGTGCGCTGAACTTTTGTACAAAACCACCTCTCTCTCTCTCGCACGCTGAACTTTTGTACAAGACCACCTCTCTCTCTCTCTCTCTCTCTCTCTCTCTCTCACACACACACACACACACACACACACACACACACACACACACACACACACCGCGCGAGACCTTCCAGTTAACCTCCCTCCTCCTCAACCCGACTGTCCTCTCTCACCCCTTCTTCTTCTTCTTCCTTTCGAAAAGAAAGCAAGAAGAAGAAGGAGCCAGAGCAGCAGACCGGGGAGGAGGAGGAGGAGGAGGAAGATCAACACGGGGTCTGGAGAGTGAATAGAATACGGGCGCGCTGTTTTGTTGTAAGGTTTTGTAGGAAGTGATAAGACTGACTTTGTGCTTCTAGGCCATACACTCTGGCTAAAAGCGTTTTCTGACCGAATCTGGTCGAAGTGAGAGGCAGATACCTTTCTTCAGGAAAACCATCGCGCGCTACCAGGTAGGCGTGGACGAACTGAGTAAACGGAGGGTAGGAAACGACTGCGGAAAATTTAAAACAAGAGAAATGTTTCTTTTTGAAAACGCAAAACAAGCGAACGAACGGACGGACGAGCGGGCGCTTCGTTCTTGCCGTGGCGTATTTTTGGAAACCCCGCGCTTTTTTTCTTTTCTTTTCCTGATGGAAAGATTTGGTTCGCGAAGTCTATCTGGTTTGCAAAAAAAAGAAACTCGATCTGGTTCGCGTGCATCCACCTGGCTCGAGGTCCCACTACGGTAGCACCAACCCGTGTAGCTGCATTCGGTGCCACTTTCCTCGATACGGCGACAATGACTGCGCTTACCACCACTGGAAGAAAAAGAAAAAAAAAAAAAAAAAAAAAAGACTGCACGTCTACTCGGGTCTAATGCCTGAGGGCCTCGCCGCACCACTGACCAAATGTGCAACTTTCCTATATTGCCTGAGAGCTGCGCCGCACGCTGCTGCAGTGCAATTACAACACGAGATCCAGTGGCCTAGCTCAGTTGATAAGGCACTCAAGTGCCATTCAGGAGGCCTTGGGTTCAATCCCCACTGCCCTCATGTACATTCCTGGGCAAGCTTGCTTGGCGCCCACCACCTAGAGATAGGCCGTTGTGTGTTCGAGTCTTGTATTCGGATTGCACGTTGGTGGCCCCGAGTGGCCTTGACCAGAGACTGTTCGTAGAGGAGGGGACAGGAGTGGAGCCACAGCGACTGGCCCGTCGAAGAACCTCAGTCCTGATGCTAAGGGGGGCGATGTCCCACTTCTTGTTCTGGTTTCGAGTGTACATGTCTCCTTGCCATCCGATCTGAAAATCTCACGGCCCTAGTGTGACCACGTTCGAAAATACAAGAAACATAAACTAAACCCGCGCTAGTGGGTCATGGCCCCGGCTGACCCCCGGCTGGTATCGCCCAGCTGCTGGTGGGTGCAGCTCCCGCATGTTCCCTCGTTGGAGGCTTGAGCACGGATGTGGCTGCTTTGGGGTTCCCGTAATACTATAGCTTGAATGACTAAAAAAAAAAGGCCTGAAAGCCCATCCTGTCAAGATTAGACAGGCAATTGAATTGGTTGGGCTTAAACCATGGCCCAGCTATCGGCCGCCCGGACAAAATAGAGTAGTTGGATGAATTTGGGTGCTCCTGTAGTCGCCCGTACGTTTCCTAAAATCGTGGCACAGGCACGGCTCTAGAAAATACTGGTGGTATAAAGAATTAGGGGCCAAAGAAAAATAAAAAATACAACACGAGTAGCCTGCCATAGGGGCTTGCCATACAGGCTTTCGAAACCCGCAAAATCGAAGCCGTGTCTTCGCCACACAGCCTTTCAAAACAAGTTCTTTCGAAAAAGTTTCGAAAGGTGTCAGATTGGCGGGCGTAGAAAGTCATTTCAAGGAGATGAGATCCTCCCACCTGTCACGAGCAAAGACCTTGAGTCATCTTGTGCAAAGGCCCACTCGAAATGGTCTATTGGCAAAAAAAAAAAAAAAAAAAAAAGGGGCAATTCCAAGGGCCTGGCTCCACTACTCTCCACATGCACAAAAGACAAAAATTGTGGCGGTGTATCTTTCCATGTTCTAGGCAAGATTCACACTCTCATTTACACCCTTAGAGAGCAGTGGAGCCAGGCCCTACTGTGCATATAGAAAGGCCTCCGTGTTTCGAAAGCCCGTGTGGCCGGGGGGGGGGTTCCTTTCGACAAGCAGCCTTTTGAAAAACGTCTGACACCTTTCGGAAAACACCTTCATTCAAACGGTTGTGTGGCGAGGCCTATAGTTTTCGTCTCTTTTGCATTTGGTGAGTGGTGTGGCTAGGCCCTAAAACTGCACGTGTCTGCGAACAGGTGCAGAATATGGTTATTGATCTGCTAGGGCCCGGGGAGGAGCAGGCAAATTATTCATATACCCTGCTAAATAGTAAATAGTGAAAAAAAAGGATACTTTGCGAAATACCCCTATAAGTTGATATATATGCCAAAATGCCCCTAAAAGATCTGGGTAGAGCGGAATACCCTCTGACACAATCAGAAATTGCTTTGCAAAATGCCCCTGACGTCAGTTGGACCTGTCATCTTTGCAAAATACCCCTACCGGGTACTGTCCAAGTTTGCAAAATGTCCCCGCAGGCCCTTTGCATTTTCGTTTTACCCCTAGTGGCCCACGTCATAATTGCATTTTGCCCCCTCGCTGTGTTCGTGCGTGTGTGTGAGAGAGAGAGAGAGAACTTCAGAGAAGGGAAGCGTAATAGCGGGGCGGGATAGCAGGATAGCGGGGTAGCGGGATAGCGCGCATGCGCGCGAGATAGATAGATAGATAGATAGAGAGAGAGAGAGAGAGAGAGAGAGAGAGAGAGAGAGAGAGAGAGAGAGAGAGAGAGAGAGAGAGAGAGAGAGAGAGAGAGAGAGAGAGAAGTGTGGCACACAGCCCTGTGACGAGCTCTTTTTCTGATAAGCGCCATCTTTTGCGCAACCGGTATTGGGGGGAGGGGGGGGGGGTACATAGAAGGGATCGGGGATAAATTGCATGGCAGTCCCTCCTTCTTGGTTTTTTGACGTTTTCTTCTTGGTCCCTCGACAGAAGGGAGGTGGGAGGGGTTGTGAACTTCGGGGTAGTTGGCCCGCGCCTTAGTGAGCGCAGGGGAATAACGTCTGCTATGTCCTTTTCCTTCTTTTCTTTCTTTTTCGACAGAAGTCCGTCTTTTTTTTTTGGCGCGGCAATCGCGCGGGGAATTCCTTCGGAATTTTTGAATTAGTGATGAGCCCGTGTGGGTTCTCAGAATTTCTTTTTGCAATTAGAACCTTAGTTAAACTAGGAAATTAGGTGTCTCGTAATTTTTGCATGTAACTGCACATCGCTTCTTGCTTGCGCGCGCTTCAAGTTGCTGCACCTGGGCCTGCGCTCTGTTCCCACCGCGCCTAAATTCCAATCTCAATTGCAATCTCTTCTTGCTCCTTCTTTGCCTACGTAGGTGTAACTGTAATCTTCCCCGTTCTTGATACTCTTTCCCGCGTCGCTGCGTGCGCTCTCCCTTCTCTATCTCATTGGCCAGATCGGTACACGACTGGATCGAAGCGTGGAGTGAGGCTACGTCCCCCATGCCGCGGCCTAACCATGCAGCCGTAGGCACTTCCTCCTTCCTTTCTCCTATTCTTCTCGGGCAATCCCGGTTATTGCACGCTGATGCACAAGTTATAAATCCCACAAGCGCGATTAATTGTCTCTCTAATCTACTTGGGAGTTAGCGCGGTCGAGAGGATCGGCTAACGAGCAGAAAGACGATGAGTAGAGAGTCGGGCGATCCGACGAGCTGGTGCTGAGTATGCGGGGTTGACGCGTGGCCGCGAGGGACTGTGGCACGTGGGCGAGCCTGACTTGCATGCTCGGCCCAAGCGGGGTGACGACTCTGTATGGTTTGAAGGTGTGGGGCGATGGACTGTCCGCACCAGAAAGGTGCAGAGAGAGAGAGAGAGAGAGAGAGAGAGAGAGAGAGAGAGAGAGAGAGAGAGAGAGAGAGAGAGAGAGAGAGAGAGGAGCGGGGATATGGTGGAACAATGCTTTTCTTCCCACCTTATGTGTAATTTTGACTCCAAAGTGGCTAATTTTGTTGCAGCAGTTTCAGATTTCTTTGTAAACCATCTCGGATTTTCTATTTCGTATATATGTATGCATGCTGATAACGAACTCGTGCCTCTTTTCTCGAGTCGTTTTTTATTTTCAATTTTTTTTTGGTCAATAGTGTAGCTTTATTCAAATTTCGTCACTTTCTAGTACCCATCTGTGCTGCGTGCTCAGCGATCCGCGGGTTTTCGGTTCACCCGAATCTGGCTAGATAACCCTCGGCGCGCCTGTCTTGCCAGATCACTTGCTCCTAGCTCATGCATGATTGCAGGACTGATCTGATGTATTGGTCTTTGATGTCGGGCAATCGCCTCTTGGTTGCATGATGATATAGATATGTATGTAACGATTGGATCTCACTTGGAATGATGATGTTTGCATAAGGAGAATGATGGCATGCATACGGGATAGACCGACTCACGGACAGAAGCGCCTAGCACCGCGCGACAAGATCAGATCAGAGCAGTCGACCTGCGCAGGCGCCCGTGTATGGCAGCAGGTCCGGCAATGGAGTCTGCAAAATACATGCGCGTCTGTGTAAGCCCAGCTGCGATCTCGGTTCGTCAAGAAATGTGTGTAGATAAAGTCCATCAAGTAGGATATGGCTGTGGAAACTCCCTTCTGGGTCACTGGCCGCGATAGTGGCCCGCGAAAGTTTAAGGAACCCAGAGTATCGGGCGTATTGGGAGGGGGAACAACTTAGGCAGCAAAGAAACTCACGAAATCTTGACTACCCTTGTCAGACTGAGAACGATCGACTGTGCGGAGGCGATTTCCAGTGGGCAATAAACCAGGATTCTCGGATTCCGGACTATCCCGACGCCCACAATAGAGAGTAGTATCTAGCCCCCGACTTCGTCGCTATTACTACCCGTTTCCCTCCCTATTACGTCCTTCTCCCGTATCACAACCTAACTGTTGTTCCGTGGGACTCCATAGCTCGTTACTGGCCCCGCACACCGTGCTCGGAATGCCAGCAACGCAACGAGTATCACGAAGCAGGGTTCATCCGACGAACCCGCTCCGAAGTAGAGCGTCGGGAGCACAGTCTTCGACTACGACCGTCCTCATCATACTATGAGATGTGTATTGGCCGACGATGGTACATGCGCTCTCAGAGAGATACTCATAGCTTTCAGCCTGTACATCAGATACGTGCCCGGCCAAGGCCGCGAGATTGG